TGCTCCGGGGTTCCAGGCGCGCTCTTCCCGGGGCCCTCCCACCCGCACCCCGCTTCCTGCGCCTGCAGCCTGCGGGGACCCCCGGCAGGCAGCGCTCCGAGGCGGCTTTTCGCCTCCCGCCTGCAAAGCCCAGGCCGGGAGCCTTGGTTTCCTTCGTGGAGCGCCCTGTGCCCGCCTGTAGCCGTTCCTGGGGGCCAGGAACTTGGGTTACGAGGTCTGTGCTCCAGATGGACTCCTTGGTGTGTGGAAGGGAGACACGGGTCGGATCACAGCAGACATTTGGAACTGCCCGGGAGAAGGCAGGCCGGGGGCCGGGAAGGGAAGGGGGCGGCTCGGTACGGGAGTGCTGCTGACGGATTGCCACCCGAGGTAAAGCGGGGTTTAGTCTGAAACCTAAGTGACAGGAAGAGCCGGGAGAGGAGAGAGTACCGAGCAGTCGGAGAAACCGCAGCCCGAGCCTTAGGCTGCTTCTAGAATAGTAGCTACAAGATGGAGGGGGGAGGACCTTTGAGACCATCGTAGGAAGTTTTGATTCCGACTGCTAGTGCAGTCAGAAGCTATCGAAGCATTTTAAGCGGAGATGTGTATGGTTTGATATGCGCAATAGTACTTGCTTCAAGGATCATATAGTTGAGATGCTGAAAGGTTCTGTAGTCCTTAAGTTCTTAAGATCACTCTTGAATATGCTGATCTTGATTCTTTGGAATGACTTGAGTAGGGGTTCCTTCTGCAGTTGTGTATTTGAGACTCTCAATACTGAATTGTTTATGTGTCTTGTAAGATAGACTCTGCTTCAACACTGCTCTTGCCCTTTGGAAATAACTGTCAGCCATTAGAGCCGAAGCATTCCTTACTTCAGGGAGCCTTTCTGGTTTTGTTTTTCCTCTGAATTAGTTCATCCCCATATATGCATTTTGTAGTCTTCTGATAACATCTTGTAATATACACATTATGTACAAATAAAGCATTGCATATTTATAAGATGCAGTGTAATTATATACCCCTCCCAGGAGAACAGATGAGATTGTCATAGCATCTTTTTTAAAATGTCTATATCTTTTTTTAAATGTTTATTTTTTATTGTGAAAATACCATCTAGAGGGGTTACAATGACATGAGCAAGATAATGAGTACATTTCTTATCAAACATTGTTGCCTCCTCCTTTGTTTCCCCTTCCCATCCCTTTCCTTCCCATCCCCCCCCCCCCACCGCCAAAGTTGTAAAGTTCGTTTTTGGACATAATGTCTTGTACAGCTCATTGTTGCAGTGGGTCCACCTGTACCCCAATTAAAAGATTTGTTTTTTCCCTTCCTCTCCACAAATTATACCAACCTCAAATTTAGTGAAAGCAGGGGTTATACCGTGGGGGAGGGACATACAAAGCAACAAAGAAATATGTTAGAAACAATCACATGAAAGAAAAAACATTTGAGGGCTGGGAAGGTGGCTCAGTGGTAGAGCGCTTGCCTTGCATGCCTGAGGCCCTGGGTTCGATTCCTCAGCACCACATAAGCAAAAAGA